ATTATCTTTTCCAATTTGGATTTGCTAATGTTAAACATGGTAGAGTTTTTACCTTTTCTTTTATTTGCCTAACCAATTGAGTATGCTTTTCTGTCCAATCAAATTTAATTGATTTTTAAGCAAATCATATAAATTGCTAAATCTTTCAAATTCTTATAGTATGGTGAAATATAATTCAAACTTCCTAGAAATCTCTGGAGTTGAATTTTCTCAGAAAAACATCAGAAATTTAGAAGAAAATTCAATTGATCGTTGAATAGGGGTTATTTTCCCTTGACCTATTAGATGACCAAGAAATCTTATATTATGTTGAAACAAAAGCATCTTTGGTTTAGATATTACTAAGCCATTTCGTAAAATAACATCCTTTAATATATTAAGATGTTTAAAATGTTGTTCAATATTATCAGAGAATACTAAGATATCATCAATGTAAACAATTATAAAATCTATATAATGAATAAATATATCATTCATGATTTTCTGAAATTCAGAAGGAGCATTTTTTAATCCGAATGGCATCACATTCCATTCAAATTGTCCTATAGGTACATTAAAAGCAGTTCTATAAGTATGCTCAGGATTTATTTGAATTTGCCAATATCCAGATTTTAAATCAAATTTAAAAAATATGTTGGCATTATATAATTTTGATAATAAATCCTTTTTATTAGGTATAGGATATCTTATCCATTTTAAAACTTTATTAAGTGGCTTATAGTTTATTACTAATCTCGGGACACCACGTTCTTTTTCAGCTGCATTATTAACATAAAATGCAGTACATGACCAGGGAGATTGTGAAGGTTTTATTAAACCCTTTTGAAGTAAAGAATGTAATTCTTCTTTACATAAATTCATATATACAGAATTCATTTGACATGGTCTTGCCTTAGTAGGAATATCCTTTTCATTAAAGTTGTCTTCATAAGGAAGATTAACTAAATGTTTCTTTCTATTCCAAAAAGCATTTGGGTGATCAGCACATACTGATTCTTGAAATTGTATTGTGATATGTTTTATTTTTTCTTGTAATTTAGTATTACTCAATAATTCGGTATTGATAAATTCACAATTTCATTTTTAATGAAAATAATTGTTTTTCTTTAGCTTCTATTAATGACCTAATAGACCTTGTTATAGGTCTGAAACAAACTGAAATTTATTGATTTATCTTTATAGGTTCTGTAAAACCTTGAAAATTAACTTCTTTAAGTGGATATAACATACATAAAATGGAAGTCCTAATATAATAGGCACTCTGGCATATTTCTTACTAATAAAAATGTTTGTGGAAGACAAATATTATCTTGACAAACAAAAGCATTAGGCAATTTATATGAGATATCTAATGTATAATTAGATGCGGATTTTAATGCATGCGAGGTTTTTCAAAATATTGCGTGGGTATTAACCCTTCTTGAACACAAGATAAATCAGCACCACTATCAATCATTGCAATGATGTTTAAGACAAATTGTCTATCTATCATTAGAGTTAATTTGATATACCATCTTTGAGATGTAATTATTTGTATTGTTTTTAGGAATTCATAATTATGATCTTCGATATATTTTCACTAAATTCGAATAGTTTGTGGATCAACTATAGAGGTTTCACCGATTGTGAATACTCAATTGTTTTAATCCTTTTTCTAATAATTCGTTATTTTGTTTCAAATATTTTATTTCATTCTTTATATTATGAACTTCTATTTGTAAGTCTGAAATAGTTATAACTGAAGAAGATGATTCTTCTTTATTTAGTAATTTTTTCATTCTTTTTTCTATTTCCTGCATTGAATAAGGATTATTATTGAAAACTATATCCTTTTTATTAACTTCCTTTTCTTTTTTATTCGACACATCTATCATTTTAATTATTTTATCACGAATATCATGATCTGGTATTTGTTTTAGTAATTCTAAAACATTATCAGTTGTTAACATGTTAAATTGTAAATCTTGAAATTGAGATATAATATTGTAAAGACTATTACCCTTACAACAATCATTATTATTATTATTTTGACATGGAAGACATTCATCCAAGAACTAGATGAATATTCATCATTTTCAAGCATATTATTTTACGAGCTATTAGTTTCTTCATTTGCACTCGATTCGATTCTTCTATTACTTTGCATATTTGTTCTTTAAGTTGTTCATCTATTTCTAATAATCTAATTCTATTAATCTTTTTACAATTAGGGGCAATATGACCCTTTGACCACATTTGAAACATTTTATGTCTCTTTTATTTTTCTATTAATTTTTCTAAATTCTCTTTGTTCTTTTGTTCTTTTACGTCGTCGTTTTCCTTTAGGTATATAAGGAATTTTATTTTTCTTCATTCTTTTATCCCTATTTTCTGGCCCAATATCCATAGCAAATTGATCACGTAACCGACCTAATTGTCTTCGTTCGATAATTGTTGTCTTTTAATTTGTTGATTTAACTTTATTTCATTACATAAAGCTAATCCTTCTTGTGTGCAAACACCTATTAGATGACCATAAGTATAATCATCATAAGGAATGTAAGGAAAATCTTTCCTAAGAACTTTTCTTATTCGTTCAGCAAACAGAGTTGGTAAGCCATCTATAAATTTGGCTTTCCAATAAGAGCTATTACTTTCTGGTAATTCCATGACTCTTGATAAGAATGAATCTTTATACCATCTAAAAGAAGTAAGTGTTTTACACTTAAAATTATTCAACAATGTTCGAATATTTTCTTGATTATTAGTAAATTTTCCAGAGAAATGTTCTAATATAGATGCTATCAAAGTATATACTGCATCTTCCATCATAATGGGTGTAGATGTTCCTTCATTCTCAATTTTACTGTATTATAAATTTTTGTCTATCATTTTCAGTTAAATAATTATCCCACCATCCTTTAAGGACACCGATAAAACCACAAACAATCATTTTGCGATTGCTGATCTGTATTACCATTTGCTTTTGCAACGAGGAGTACATTAACATCCTATGCACCATATTAGTTAATTGCCTATCGAAAGGCATCACAATTCCATTCATAAACGAACGACTACTATAACTATTAGTAGTTTCTTGATGTTCTTCATACGAAGATCTTGTGGAGAAGGTCGAGGTAATAATAATGATTCATATATGGTTTATTAGCAAATTTATTATGTCTAGATTTATTAGAAAGACGATTTATTTCATCTCGTAGAGTTTTATCAAAATCTTTCTGTATATTCTCAGAAAATTCTAAAGTGGATAATTTAAGGTTTTTAAATTTTTCTTCTAATAAATTTTCTAATATATGTGGAGATTCAAGATTATAATCTTTTACTATAGGAGGAGGCTGTATAAAATTTTGTATTTTAATATCTTTATTTTTGTTTTCAATCGAAACTGGTTTAACTGTTTGTTGAAGATTGTTTATAAGAGAAAATAATTTGTCAACTTTATCATGTAAAGAATTAATTTGTTCTCCTAAAATTTTTACATATAAATTTGTATAATTATTTTGCTGAATAAATTTATTTACTAAAGAAACAAGAGAAGGTAAAACTTCACTTTCAACCAATTTTGAAAGGCGAAAAAGTTATATGAGTTGCATTTGTTAAAACAAATTCTTTTGGGGAGGGTAAATTCCTTTTGTAATTTTTCCATCTCGCAAGATGATATTCTCTTTCAGGAGGAAAATATATTTATCAAGACAAGTGATTATAAAGCACGGACAAAATATATTATTTGATTGTGAAAAGAAGCATATTCATAAAATTCTTTTTGTATAAGTTTTGATTTTCAATATCATAAGTAGAAAAGAACCATTCTCTGAAAAGTTTCCACTTTTCGATTGAAATTCTTGTCTTATTATTTGTCTAATATTAGATCCTGGACTAAAATCTAATTTTTAGTATTCGCCATGATAACCCATTTCGAAGGTGAAGGCATATCCTTATCAAACGTCTTACTATCAGCAGACCGAACAATATTATATGGATCAATTTTTACTTGATTTATTCTATTTGTTAGATCTATTTCAGGAATCGAAGATGTCGAAAATCTATGAGAATCGACTGGATCAATATAAGATTTAAAAGATCTTTGAGAGCTGGATCTTAGTAATTTAGGAATTTTGGTTTATCAAAAGTAATACTTATCGACCATTATCGATTGTTCAATTTCGTAACATTACAACTTGTAACATTATGAGTTAATGAGTTTCTTTTAATTCCTTTATTAATTTGCCAAGATTCTGAAAATTCAATTTCTTCCCATTTAATAGTTTTACGAGTACTAATTTGAGATTTATAAAAATTAGTTTCTATTAGTGTGGTTTCATCGGATGGTTTACTTATAATCTTACATCCGGGTGTTAAGGTATTTAATAATTTAAAAAAATACGGTAGTGTAAACAAATAAGTTCACTTCCTTAAATAATTATAACCATGTAATTTTACATTTAAGGTTAAAGCATCTAGTATATTAACATCGACAATGATAGTGTAAATTTGGATAGACATTAAAATAAACTGACCATGAGCTAGGCTTTGATTTGTATTATGCCCATTAGGGATTTTTTCCAATGTAAATTTCTACCATCACGTAAGGCGAAGAACAAAAGATTCGAGTAAACCTTCTAAAGTTAAAGGTTTAAATGCAATTTGCACCAATCCAATATGTATGAACTTATAATTTTTATGAGATCTATATGATTCAATATCTGTGAGACAAAAGTTGTAAAACCCTTTCATCGAATTTAAAGCAATTGATTGTTCAGTAGTTTTAACTACCTGTTTAACCAAGTATCGATCAAACATACCATATTCATACAAAGTATTAGTCGGTACCTTTGGTATTGACCATTTATTAAGGAGAGCAAGCTGTTGAGGCATATCGTATTCCTCTTGATTGTAAAACCCTTTATTGGAAATTTTTTGGAAAAAATTGGCGGCTCATCTAATACTACTAACAAGTAGTATTACCCTTCTCACCGTTCACTTTCCCAATTCTTTCTCAGAAAAAAAAAAAAAAAACTTTCCCAATTTCTCAACGCAAGCCTTGCCCTGATCGACCTTTCGAATCTCCCAGATGAACGTCGCCGGCCGCCTCTTTTTACCCGTAGCGTTCGCTGACGCCTTCTATGCGTCCTTTCGGAATCATCCTAATCTTCCTCTCTGCAACTCTCGCCGGATTCCTTTGTCATCAGAAATCTCAAATCTTAACCCCTCGATCTTCTCGACGATGATAACGCCTCGAGGTCAAGGCCAATGATTCCTCCAATTCGCCTCTTCTTTCATCCAAGGTCTTTAAGTTCTTTTCCTGGATTTTTTACTATTCTTGAATACGTGATTAATTTTACAAATTTTTTTCGATTTTAACCTTTTTTTGGACGTTTGTGGACATGTCAAGAGGGACATTTGTGAACCCAGGGGGAGATTATAACGCCATCTTTGATCTGTAAGTCTTGTTTTTATTTTGTTTGAAATTATTAGATATTTTCAATTGTGCCAATCATGTTAATTAATTTTATTTAAACAAAATAGAAGGAAGATTGAGCCAAAGAAGATGAGGGAAAGGGGTTGCCGGGGGAGAGAAAAAGTAGAGGTAGAGAGAAGAATTTTGAAGCAATCATCTTCTTTGGAATAGAGAGAAATTTTCAGATTTAAGTGGCTTACTTTGAGGCTTCGGGTCTCCGAGGTTTTGTGGTAAACTCTGTCCAACTTTTATTGCTTTCAAATGCTGCACTTTAGGGTTCATTTCTCTTTTTGTGGTTTGTTAAATTGCTTGACGGATTTCTCTGAAAAATTGATGAAAACAAGATATGTCACTGTTGCACTTTCGAAAATTTGTAGAAAAACCAGACTTGAGGCCCTCTGTTATCAGGTCTATTTTTTATAACTTTGGAACTCTTTTCTGGAATTTCTTTTCACAGGACCCTTCTTTATTCAATGTAGTTCATTCAGGTTTTTACGGATTGTAAAACTGATTTATAGATTGTCCTAAAACATGATTTGAACATTATCACCATTACCTGGAACTCTGTCTGGAGCTGCTGCTTTTGGAGATTCATTTCTCCCCTTACATGAACTTTGTTGTGAAACTTCTTTTGGTGAATGTCTTCTATGTTTATTGGAGTTTGTTACGAATTTTTCAGATGGTATATTGGCGTTACGGATTGCCCGAAAATTGGGTTCAAACTTAATTGACTTTGTTCTGGAATTTGTGAAATATAAGCTCTGAAGTGCTGTTTTGCAGATTAGTTTTTTCCTGAGTCATGTATTGTATTTCCTGATTTCTTTAGCCAAAAATCTTTCTTGCTTGACCTAGTTTATAATGGTATTGACGGCGCATAAATTGGATATGTGGTCTGATCAATAATGTGTGTTGAACATGGTCACTAGTTTATAATGTTTCGAACATGAAGTACTAACATGTTGCTGTAAAGAATAGTTTTTATATTTTTCCTGGTGATTTTCATAGAATGCAAGTCATTCACCGAGTGTTGCTTATGTTAGGAAAATTCTCATTGGACATGGTCCGAACAAATGTTGAATTTTAGAATGCTTGTGTGCTTGTGCTGAATTTTCCGATTTTTGCGGGTAACTCAGGAACTTGAACTTGCCAAAAATTGGTTTTAGCCAATTGGTTTAAGTTTGGCAGGCTTGTCAAGCATTAAGTTTATCTGTCTAGTAGTTTAGAGGATGTTTGAAAAACATTGTTGAAGCTTCCATCCTTTAGGTCTTTTTTTTACTCTAAGGGTCTTTTGTTTTGATTAAGGAATCCATGAAACAGGGTGGAATGGGCAGGGATTCTGAAACTGATTTGGTTGATTTAAGAATGGCACTGATTGCAATTTAATTACTCACGGATAATGAAGTAATGCATGACCTGTTTTTGTTGATTAGTGTTTTTTGAGTTTGCTTTTAGCGCATATCCATGTTTACATGCTTTTTCTCCTTGAACTTTTGTGAGCTTTTGCATCTTGAGTGTTAAATCTATAATCGCAAATCAGGAGCACTAGTATGAATTAGATTCATGCTAGTAACTCTTGCAAAGGTGCAACCCTCTGTTCAAATGTTATATTTTCTTTTTGTGACCTTTTTTATTGATTGATTGCGGTACAATTTTTCATTACCTTGGGTTCTGAAAAATATGCTCGTTCAGAGTCGGTACAAAGCAAGAACGATCAGATTCAACATTTCACTATAGCAAGGTTGATGCTTATGCTTTGAAAATGGAGCAGATGCAAGTTTCAATGCAGAAGTGGCAGGCTTCAACGGAGTTGTGGTGCAAGCAAAATGGTGTTCCAGTTTCGAGTTTTGGTGTAGAAGAGGATCAAAGTGTTCAAGGGTCGAAATGGAAAACTCATCCATCTAATGATACTGATTCGGATGACAGTTTTTTGGAAGAAGATGACAACCACGAACACAATCTAGGTGACTAATGTTCAACGAGTATGTGTATGAATTTGTTGGTTTCGGATTGATTTCATGATGTCCTTTTTTAGTATTTTGACAATGGTTTGAACTTTGGAATTGATCTTATTGTTGAATTTGGGATGAACGTAATTTTTGATTGAATGGAATTGTGTATTCAGGTTATTAGTATTTTTTGGATTCAATTTGATATGATACCAAAAATTAGGGACTAAAATATAAATAATTGGTCACATTTAATACTTAGCAATTTATCCACGACATAATTTGTGGGTAATTTTTAGGCTAATTTAATAATTTATCCACGGAGGGCACCGCGGGTAAAATTATTATTTAATTTTATTCACGACTTTCGTGAGTAATAGTATCAATAAAACCAAAAATAATCTTTTTTAACCACGGATTGTTCCACGGTTTCCATGGGTGTTTTATCATCAATTATTCAAGTAATACACAATTTCTCTCACGGAAGTCTTTACGATATATGTTATGGGTAAATTACCCACGATGTTTTGACTTCCGTTGGAGAATTTTTTACACGGGGTTTTGTGCCGTGGAATAATCCGTGGGTAAATCACTTACCCACGCCCTCTCAGTGTAATTATCCACAAACAAGGGCCGGGGTTAATGACTTTTTCTTTGTAGTGAGAATGTGTGTGGCTTGTCGTGTTGTTAATAAAATAACTATCAAATATAGGCATCCAACTCCTAGATTAGATGACATGTTAAAAGATTTGTGTGCTTCTTGTGTGTTTTCTAAGATAGATCTTACTAGTGGTTATCATCAAATACGGATGAAAGAAGGTGATGAATGGAAAACTATTTTCAAAATCAAATTTGGTCTGTATGAATGGATGGTGATGCCATTTGGCTTAACCAATGCTCCTTCTACTTTATGCGTTTAATGAATCATGTGCTTAGGCCTTTCATAGGCAAATTCATTGTTGTTTATTTTGATGATATTCTGATTTATGTGATTTCGCATGCGCACATTTGAGAAAAGTTCTCTCTACTTTGAGGTTTCATAAGCTTTATGCCAAACTTGCTAAATGCACATTCTGTGTGGCAGAAGTTATATTTCTTGATTTTGTGGTTAGTAAGCATGGTGTAAAAGTTGATGAAGAAAAGGTTAAGACCATAAATGATTGGACTATACTTAAATTTGTGTTTGACATTAAATCCTTCAATGGATTGGCTCGTTTTTACCATAGATTTTTTAAGGACTTTTCTACTAAGGCTGCTCCTCAAAATTATTTAGTGAAAAAGAATATTAGGTCTGAGTGGGGAGATGAACAAGAGAATGCATTTAACACATTGAAAAATAATTTAACTTGTGCTCGTGTTTGCATTATCAAACTTTGATCATACTTTTGAAATTGAATGTGATGCATTCGGAGTGGGTATAGGTGCTGTGTTAATGCAAGGTCAAAAGCCCGTTGCATATTTTTCTGAAAAGTTGAGTGGTGCTACTTTGAATTATCCTGTTTATGATAAAGAACTGTATGTTGTGATTAGGGGTGTTCACGGTTTGGCTCAAACCGGTGGAACCGCCCAATCCGGTCATCGGTTCGGATTAACGGGCGGATTATAATTATATTTTTAAACCGGCGGATTGAAAAATTAAAAACCGGTCAATCCGGTCCGGATTACGGTTTGGCACTGTCAAATCGTCTGTCAATCCGGACCGGACCGTATATATATATATTATAAAATAATAATATATTGGTTTTGTATATATAGCGTCGAATAGAGATTTTTATCGAAAGTGCTAAGTTGTCCCATTGGCATTGTTGTTGTTCTCTCCATGTTAGACCTTGCTAAAGGTCGTGCGTTCGAATCCCCCATGGACTAATTTTTTTTTTTTTCAAGAAAAGCCTCGAAAAAAAAGGCTGAAAAAGGCCCAAAAAATTTCAGGAAAAGCCCCATAAAAAGGTCCAACAACAAAAAAATGTTTAATTTTTTGCCCAAAATGAAAAAGTCCAATCAGAAGCCCAAACCACCTATCCGCCCAAACCAAACCGTTAAAAACGGATTGGATTGGTCCGGATTATACACCAATCCGATCCGGTTACGGATTGAAAATTTTTCAAACCGTAATGAACGGTTTGGTTACGGATTGCTATCAATCCGGACCAATCCGGACCTTGAAACCCCTAGTTGTGATAAGGGCTTTAGAAAATTGGCAGCAAGATTTGATACCAAAAGAGTTTGTTATTCATTTTGATCATGAGTCTTTAAAACATAGGCAAAACAAACTCAATAAGAGACATGCTAAGTGGAGGGCTTTCCTGGAATCTTTTCCCTATGTGATTAAATACAAAAAGGGTAAAGAAAAATATGTAGTTTTTGATGCCTTGTCTCGTCGTTCTTATGTGCTTTCTATATTAGATGCTAAGATGTTAGGATTCGAATTTATTAAGGGCCTTTATTCTAAAGATTCTGATTTTTCATCCCTTCATGACGCATGTAAAAGTGGCTCATTTAAAGTTATATTGGCAAGATGGTTTTTTTTTAGGAATAATCGTTTATGGGCGCCTGCTTGTTCTTTGCAAGAGCTTCTTGTGCGTGAGTCCCACAGTGGTCGTCTTATGGATCATATAGTGTCTTAAAAACATATGATGTGTTACGTGAGCACTTTTACGGGCCTAAAATGCAACGTGATGTTGATATGGTTTGTTCCTCATGCATTCAATGTAAGCAAGCTAAGTCTAAGTCACAACCACATGGGCTTTACACGCCTTTACCTACTCCTATCCACCCTTGGACATACATTTCTATAGATTTTGTGTTGGGATTGCCTAAATCCCAGCGTGAGTGTGATTCGGTGTCTGTAGTTATTGATCGGTTTTCTAAGATTGCTCATTTCATTCCTTGTCGCAAGTCTGATGATGCTAAGCATGTTGCTGACTTATTTATGTGTGAGATAATACCTTTGCATAATTTGCCTTGTACAATTGTTTCAGACTGGGATGTGAAGCTTCTGAGTTACTTTTGGAAGACCTTATGGGGTAAGCTAGGTACCAATTTGTTGTTTTCTACAACATCACATCCTCAGACGGATGGCCAGATGGAGGTAGTTAATAGGACTCTTGGGACCTTACTTCGTGCATTGATCCAGAAGAATTTGAAGGCATGGGAGTCTTGATTGCCTATTGCGAGTTTGCTTACAATCGCACTTTGCATACTACTACTCAATATTCCCCATTTGAAATTGTTTATGGCTTTAATCCGCTAACACCATTGGATTTGTATCCTTTGTCTGTTTCTGAATTTCTAGATATAGATGGAGCAAAGAAAGCCAAGTTTGTGTGTGCTCTACATGAGAAAGTACACATGAACATTCTCAAGAAAAATGAACACTTCGCCAGGGTTGCTAACAAGGGACGGAAGGAAGTCGTTTTTTAGCCTGGCGTTTGAGTTTGGGCACATGAAAGATTCACACTCCTACCAAAGTCAAGTCAAAGTTGGATCCAAGAGGCGATGGGCCATTTCAAGTTGTGAAGCGCTTGAACAACAATGCCTATCAGCTAGATTTGCCAGGTGAGTACAATGTTAGTGCTACTTTTAATGGTTATGATCAATCTCCCTTTGATTATGCAGATGCTCGTGCCATGGATACTTTGGTTCAAGGACGAATCCTTCCGAGGAAAGGGGGAATGACATAGAAATCAAGATCCTTTGTCTAATATTGGAGGTCCCGTGACTCGATCCCGTGCGAAGAAAAGAGATGAAATGCTCAAAGCTCTAATCTCGGATGTTCATTCTCATGAAGAATCTCAAAGGATTGATTGCATTCATTGGATAAATTGTCTAGAATTGAAGAGTATTAACCATTTCGAAGAGGGGTCCAAAGACTTCATCAAGTAGATTGGAATCAACGGACGTCGACCTCTTTGTCAGTCGACGAGCAAGCCGACGTGGGCATGTCGACCATTCTACCAGTCGACGAGAAGACCGGCGCGCACTGACGAACTAGGGTTCCAAATATCCTAGTCTTAAGTTTTAGCGGCTTTTTCTGATTTGATTTGTTTTTCTTGGATATTTTTGAATTAAAAAAGTTTTAAGGGAGCTTCTAAATAGTTCGCGACATGTGCAAATATTTAGAAGTTATATTTTTTATTTTAAAACTCATTAGGGATCGAATCTACAAAGAACTTAAATGTTGGATTTTGACCTAGTGGCCTTTCTTTTCACATTAAAAGAAGGGAGGCTGCCACTTTGGGTTTTCAAACTTTTATGGAATATTTATTACATGAAGAGAGTGGACCTCTTTGTTCTTAATCCTTTTGGGACTAATTTGGACTTGTGCGAATCATAGACTTCATAGGTAACAAGCTTACCACTGAGTTTAGTGTTCTCAATCGGTGGAGCTTTGTTAGCCATTTCATAGGACCATCATCAATTCGCTTTCGTCACAAATCTTAAGGTGGGGGTTGATTGGGGTGTACCGAGGGAGTTGCTAACCTTAACACTATTTCATTTCTCATCTCTACGCCAATTCTTATTCGAATTTTTGTTGGTCCATATCTTCTTTCAGGTTTTTCTTGGTTTGAATCATGCAAGGGATCCAAATCTTGGGTTGCTTCCGCATGAATAGATAAATTCACATCAAATTAGCATAAAGCGGTTATACGACAGCTTGATGTTGATAAAACTGTGATTCTAAATCACCGACATCCAACCTCGGTCTTTTTGGCACAAGGGATGCAGTTAGTTGAACCGATTTTGCCAAAGCTTTCTAATGAGGACGCGGTAGAGCAAGCCCACCTCCCCAACCTAAATAGGAGACGGAAGGAAATGAATAGATAGATCGATCTCTCTCTCCTCCTATAAAAAACACCAAGCCAATCTTTACTTAAGTACAAGCAAGGTAATTCACTCTATCAAGAGGGCATGGAACTTATCAGCGCACCTCTATCATTCCGTCTTTGCCACATCTCTCTTAGCTTCTTTTCTGTGGAGTTATCATAGAAAAGAAAACAAGGCCTTCATGTCCACCCTATTAAATATTAATTGATCTAAAACTTCCAATAGAAGCAAAAGTCTAGTGCACTTTAGGCTCCGAGCGATAAAATTCTCTGCTTTTGTTTCGGTTTTGTCACGATCCATTGGTTCATATAGAATCCATTTCCTAGGAGAATCAAAAAACATTCTTTTCGCTAAGAGTATATAACAAAATAGAATGAAAGGGTCCATCCTAAAAAGAATATTCCTTTTCTTGCTTCCGCTTCTACTTAGATTATAGGCCTAGAACTAAAGCTTACATAAACTTAACCACTACTTGCTTTCTTCCGTTTGACCTGACAGACTCTGGTCATCACACATAGGTAATAGCCCCGGGGCTACGGGAAAAGATGTAGATCAATCGCCCTAGATAGACAACTACATAGAGGGTCTCTATAAGTCTATAATATTCTTTGATTTTTTTCTCCCCGTTTTTCTGTTGTTTTCATTTATAGGGTCATAGAAAATAAAATACATAAAGGTGCTATGTTCCTTTGAAGCACAGATCAGATTCCTTTACTGTCAAAGTTGTATGCCCTTCTTCATCTATACCAACTTCCACACACGAACCAACAGAAAGAATTTTAGCACTCTTGCTAAAGTTGCACGCCCTTTGCTTCGCCGGGGACTTTAACGAAATGAAAATGAGCGGCTTCGTCGTGTGCTCAACTTTGTTCTGCCCTGGAATGTCTCAGACTAAGTGTAGGCCAATTGAACAATGTCTGGGGGATCTCCTTTATTTGCTGGGGAGAGAAGGCGTCGGACTTCGGACCTCGTTTTTCATTTTGAGGCTAGTTCTGGGCCTAGTGCAAGTGTAGATCAGCCTAGCGGGGTAGTAGTTACACCATTCCTGCAGGTTGCCACTCATCACTGATGATTACAATCTCAGGATACCGTCTAAATAACCACGTCCAGAGAATCAAAGAAGTCAGGAAGAAATAAGAGTCTGAGGTCGGGTTGTGCGATAAATCTTAGTTGGTCCCACCCCCACTAGAAATTAGATATATATATATATATATAATCTTTCTTCTAAGTGCGTTTAGTAGCGGAACCTGAATCTCTTTAGTTTGGATTATTCAATCTTATCCTGTGAGGGATGTGACCTATGTTAGGTCCATAAAATACCTAGACCTTTTTAACGGTTCAAAAGATGACTTTCCTGTCCCGCTTTAAACCAACCTAGCTGGTTGGCCAATCTCAGAGATCTTAGCCGGTCGAAAGACCGCCTTTCTTGCGTATGGGTGCCGTCCTGCCCCTAGGTATTCTTTACCTACCCACCTGTGTCGGTTTCGGGTACATGTACATCTTTGCTTATAGTCCTTCGAGCTTTTCTTGGGAGTATAGCATGGGAGTTGCTTCAACATTAGGTGTAGGGAGAGTTTTACATAAGATAATAATCTTCTGCATGCTATTACGGGCTTTTTTTTTTATATGTTGTAAGGTATTCTTATCTACTATTGGATTTTCGTTTTACCTGTAGAAGTTAGTTTATTAATTAGAGTAGGTTCTAGGAGACAGATGGGATCCGAGCGGTCCGAGGGAGAGAGGGGGAGCACTGATGCTCCCCTCTTCTCGAGAATCCATACATCCCTTGTCTGTGTATCGCCAGCTTACCACTTGACTAGTACGAAAAAAAGAAAAAACATATATATAGGATTATCCTTGTTCGTCAAGCTTTCGAGCAGCTCTTTCAACTACCGCCTAATCCCTTAACATGCTCAAGAACCGATAGCCACTAGAAGAAAGAGATTGGCTTCATGAACGCTGAGCTCAGAACCAACCCTGCTGGCTTTCTCGCATTAAAGGTTTGATCAATAGGTGGGCCTGAACTCTCCTTATAAGTAGCTGCCCTTTACCTGACTATTGTTATCCGTGCATTCCACCTCAAGGCGAGGCAACGACCGAAGATCTATGAAGGAATGCCAAAAGCTTCTGACTCTCCGTCGCTCATGACTGGTATATGGGAGCTCAGCTTCACCCAACAACCTAGAGTGGTGAAAAAAAAAATTTGCTACAAAAGCCTGCTAACGGGGGGAGGCTCGAAAGAACTGTGGAGCTCTATATCTGCGGGGTGGGAACTCTATAGATCCAAATTCACCGATCCTATCTAGGAGTTGCAATCCGAAAGAGCGTCGAAATTTAGCATCACTAAAATGCTCAGAAAAACTACTTATAAAGTTTGGACGCTCTTTCTTCTTGTGTTATCCTCTCCTTGATTTGAATACTTGGAACTGACAATATTCATTGCCTCACTACCATCTCTCTCGGAAGTATGTTTCAGCGATCTTAGTGGTACTAGTCTAATAAATTTTCACTTGAACTACTAGCATAAGACCCAGAATCCATTTATTCGAATCCCACTCTATGGCCAAGCGATTCTCATTTCTAACTTAGAGCAAGAGAGTCCATCTGGAGAGACTTAGAGCAGCAGGAGCAACCGACCTCAGCGAATCCAATAGCTGGCCTAATCCCCTACGTTCCAGGACCCTTTGAGGCCCTCCATCACTTTCTACCTTCCACATCTAACTTGTGTTAAAAGGCATCAAACGAAACCTTCTTTTGATAGCACCAATCCAACTAAAGATTTTTATTCCATTGGGGACAACTATGACCATGGTAGCTACGGTGAAGTAGGCCCAACAAAATCGGGAACACTGGCTTCTTCTTGTCTCGGGTATGGTTCCGCTCAGCGAACTCACTTGGCTAGAAAGAGAGAGCTCCTAGCAAGGAGTTCAATCGATTAGACTAACCCACTCAAATGCAAACAGGGATCACAAATGTGGTCAACATTACAAAAAATAAAGAGATACCGCCTATACCTAAATAAAAATTTATGTTTTCATAAGGAAGCTAGCACACCATAATCGAGTTCCCATCCTTAGATAGAGATATCTTGAGGGTATCTGCGTAGCAAGACCGTGAATTAATGGTATGATGTGGACATCCTAGGTGATCAAGCTCAAGGACAAGTCAACCTTCAACCGAGTAATTAATCAAGTTCGAGCTCAAAGAGTGATTCAAGATCCATTAGCTAATATTGGAGGTCCTATGACTGATAACGGTCAAATTGTTACATAAAAGCATTGCAATTTTGCTCTTTAATTAGTTAGAAATTAGGGGTGTTTCTTAGACTTTGTTCATTTTACTTAGCTAGTTTTGTGTTTCTAAATAGGTGAGGACCGGAGTGAACAAATGCTGAAAATGGGGGCTTATGGAGCAATAATTGGGCTGCTGATTCAAATTTAAAATGAGGGCTGAGCTGGTCAAAAAGCAACTCCAAGACACAAGACAAATTGGGAGTTAATAAGGGTGTCCCACAATAGAAACTAAAGAGCATGCTTGTCCCTTTGAATGAAGAACCAACCACCCACATTGATCAATGATGTTGCTGATACCACTACTGGAAGAAGAGGAAAAGACCAGTCAAAACCAGATTCAAGACACAAGGCATTGGGGCTAATAAATAATTCACAAGCATGAGGAGGCTATCTTGGAAGAAGAACCGGCTTCAAAACTCTATAAAAGGAGCTGCATTTCCAGCATGAAGGGGGATCTGAGTGGACATACAACATACAACACACAACAGAGAGAGAAGAAGAGAGCAGAGAGGGGAGAAAACTCCAAAGGAAGAAGAAGTCCAGTAGCAGAAAAAGAGGAGTAACAGACATCACTCGCCTGAGTGAGTGACCTGTTGCTCAGCCATCCAGATTTGCTTCTTCTCAATGCTTTACTTCTTTTCTTGTATTTTCTGTAGTTTGTATGTGTAGTTAATTAGATTTCATTCTCTGGAACCTATGTAGTTTAAGTTTGTGAATGCATTCGGATGATTATGTGTTTTGAAGTTAAAGCTTTCATCTACCTCTTGATTAAATTGGCCATTTGATTGATTGTGCACAGAACTAAGTGAATCCCGGAACGGTAAACAAGGTTCAGAATCATTTAGCTTCAACTTATGACTTGGAGGAAACAGTCCAAGGTTCTAATTGAGATAGGATTATACTTGGTTAGCATAAGCATTCATATAAGGCTTGAAAACTTCATGACTTTATGACTTGATTAATCATTGGAAAATAGTTTAATTGAGTTGATAAAGATACCTCTAGGAAAAATCGGAAGTGACTTAGAGATATATAAGTGCCTGAATGAGCATGAATTCATACCAAAAGAGTGCAAGATTACAACTTGATTACATAGGGAAAAGAGAATGAATA